TAGGTCTTCAATACTTTCATAAATAGTTTAGATGAGGGAACAGAAGAAAGAAATCAAATTGGCAGATATCACCAAGCTGGCTGGAATAGTCAACATCCCAGAAGATAGGCTCAAGAGTCAGATGGATCACAACAGACTTGAACACTGGGACATATATAACAAAATGAAATTTAGTGTAAGGAAAACTAAGGTTTTACACTTAGGCAAGAAAAACCATGATCCAGCATATGTTGGCAATTTGATTTCTAGTTCCTCTGCCTTTTCAAAATGCTGCCTGTACTTCTGGTAGTTCTCGATCCATATGCTGCTGGAGCCTACTTGTAGGATTTTAAGCATAACTTTACTAGCATGTGAAATGAGTGCAATGGTGTGATAGTTTGAACATTCTTTGGCATTGCCTTTCTTTGGCATTGGAATGTAAACCTTTTCCAATCCTGTGTACATGCCAACATAGGCTGGATCATAGGGCTGAACCTAGGGAGTTTCAGAAAAACATCTACTTCTGCTTAGTTGACTGCCTTTGATTATGTGGATCACAACAAATTGTGGCAAGTTCTTAAAGAGATGGGAGTACCAGACCATCATATTTGTCTCTCTTTTTTTTAAATAAAAATTTTATTTTTATAACAACAACAAAAACCAACAAATAAAACCTTCTTTCTGCTCATTAGTGTGTCAGTTGGGTACACATTTCTTTGTGCACATAACATTATCATACATATTTTACTTATGTTTATAATCCTTCTAATTAGTATTTTATATCACATATATCACTTATTATATTAGCCTTAACATTTATTGACTTTCAATAATATATTTCACATTCATTTTCTTACTAACTCATTCAATTATCAGTAATAGATATTATACTGTACTTACATATTTCAATTTCTTACTCTTCTATCTAGCCATTCATAAAATAAATTCCAAATTTTATAATAATCTTTTTCCTCTTGTTCTCTAATTGCCATTGTCAATCTACTAATTTCTGCACATTCCATTATTTTCTTAATTATTTCCTCATCCATTGGAATTTTCTCATTTTTCCAATTTTGTGCAAATACAATCCTAGCTGCTGTTAATACATTGATAATCAAGTAGGTTAACTCTTTGTTTATAACCCTCAGGCAAAATTCCCAATAAAAATGTCTCTGGTTTTAAATCTATAGGTTGTTTTATCATTTTCTCCAGCCACATATGTATTCTAGTCTAATACTTTTTAGCTTCTGTGCATGTCCACCACATATGGTAGTATGATCCTGGTAACTTCTGACATTTCCAGCACTTCGCCAACTTACCTTTAAACATCTTGGCAATTCTCATTGGGGGTAAGTGCCACCTGTAAAACATTTTATACAAATTCTCTTTATAAGCTGTTGACATAGTTAATTTGTAGTTTCTAGACCATAGTATCTGCCATTTATCCAAGTCTATTCCATATCTAAAGTTCCCCCCCCCCCCCATCTTATTTATGTCTTGAGAAACCTAAATGCGAGTCAAGAAGCAACAGTGAGAACTGGACACAGAACCACTGATTGGTTCAAAATTGGGAAAGGAGTCCGGCAAGGCTTTATATCAGTGATGGCTAACCTTTTCATTGTCGCGTGGCGAAAGTGCGCACGGGAAATCACTGGGAGCAGCCATAAATTCCCCCATTTGCAAGACGCAAACAAGCAAACAGACAGTTGCATCCTCTCTGTCTCTCTTTGCATCTGAGTGACTGTATTTATTTGCAAATGAGAGACTGATTTGAGTAAGGAAGCTGTATTATCCCCTGTCCCTGGAGTTACTAAAACAAAGGTTTGATTCCTCTTTCTTCATCTGGAAGAAGGAAGAATTCCATGGAGGAAGCAGGCAATAAAAAGGGGCCCATCTTTGTGTTGAGTTTTATGACACTGGCCTCCAAGCCAACCGAGTCATAAATACTTTTAGCCACTCTGCGTATAAACCAACTCCCCTAAAGAGGGAATCTGCCTCTGGAAAGCTGAAAAAAGTGACCAGGCTTGTAGCCAAAAGAAAATCAACAAACTTCACTGTCCTATTTTATCTTTGTTTTTAAACTGGAGAGGAAAAAACCCTTAGCTGAATTTAGCAAGAAGTTAGCCTAAATTCTACTAAAAGGAAATCGCCCAAGCCCAGCTGATCAGAACATAAGATTAAACGACAGCACCCTCTGGTGATTGATTTCTAGGCTACAGGCCTGTGAACAAGCTACCCATTGCAGTACCCTCTGGTGGCCAACCAGTGTATTGCATCTGAGTCTTCTGAAGCCTGCAACGCAACCCAGTGGCCTAACTGGTGTATCGCACCAGCATCTTCCAGAGCTTGCAACGCACTCCAGTGGCCAACCAGCATATTGCATCAGCGTCTTCTAAAGCTTGCAATGCACCCTAGTGGCCCAACTTGTGACAATCTCACAAAGCAGCTGCTTTCTAAAAATAGAAAAGCAGCTAAAATTTCCTAAATTTTATATGACTATTTCCTAACAAAAAAATCCTAATTTTTTGTCCCTAAAAAAACAAACAAACACACACTTACTGCTTTTTTAAATCAGAGATCTTCAAACTTGACAGCTTTAAGACTTGTGGACCAACTCCCAGAACTCCTCCTCCAATCATGTTAGCTCAGGAATTCTGGGAGTTAAAGTCCACAAGTCTTAAACTTGCCAAGTTTGGAAACCCTTGTTTTAAATCATGAAAAAAAAAAGCCACTTACCCAATTGAAGAAAGCAGGCAGGCAGAATAAGTTGCTTGCTGATGAGCTGGATGCAGAGAAAGTCAGTATAAGCAAGGCAGGAGATGGGTCAGCAGCAGCCATTCGAGAATCAGAAGGCGTCTGAAGAAGTAGGTACTTGCTGGAGGCTGGGTGAGGGTTGGAGGTAGGTTACTTAGCTAGGCTGACTAGGCCCAGGCCTTGGGGCCCTGGCTGGCTGGAAAGCAGCTCCGGGGGCATTTTGAAGCCCAGGAGCAGGGGCAGCCGGCCGCAAAGGGTAGTGGCTGCCCCACAAGTGACTCCCGGTGGCTTGGGTGGCTATGTAGGCCCCGGCTGCCAGAGGCTTTCAGAAGCCCGGGGCCAAGGCCGGGTGGTGGGAATGAGTGGCCCCCGGTTTCAGAAGCCTGGGGCCAGGTGGTGGGGGCTAGTGAGTCAGTGCTTATCTGGTCCTGTAGGCAGGAGGCAGGTCCGTTGGGGCACAGGCACCGCGCCCCAACGTAGACTCAAGTCAGAGTAGACTCAAGTCAGCTTAGGCAAGCAAGTCGCAGAACAGACTAGCATGCACAAGCGTGGCAAAGCGTTTTTATAAGGATGGGCTTGGGATGGGTGGAGCGAACAGTGAGCATGAGGGCAGGGCAAGCGAGCAGCGAGAAGGCGGCTGGGCGGGGCAGCAAGCAAGCAGTAAACATTGGGTGATCGGGTGACCGGTTCGGGGGCGTGGCCAGCCAGAAGTTGCTACCAGTTTGGCGACCCACGCCAAATTCTTGCTACCGGTTCGCCCGAACTGGTGTGAACTGGCTGAATACCATCACTGGGCCAAAGGGCACCCCCACCGTCTGCAGTCCCACCGTCTGTGCACCCTCCAATTGCCGCCACCAGCTTGGGAAGAGATCTGAATGGATCCGTTCATGGGCAGGCCAAGGCCACCCAAAACAAATTCGGACTAATCCGAGTTAACATCTGGTCTGGCTAAGGTGACGGCCTTTTCCAAAGCTGAGCAACCAACATTACGCTGCCTTCATCCAAGATGCCCAGGATTTTTCTGTTTTTCGGGTCACCTTGTAAAATGAACAGCAAAGTGAGCAAAGTACAGCGCCCTGAGCTGTGAAACCCAACCAGGTAAATGCTAACTAAGCTAAGTGGGAATGCAGTCCTAGGGATTTGCCCTGACTCGGTTAAGTACTTTGTATGAGCCCTTCTTCCAAGTCAGAATTCATAACTGATTCATTTTAAACTCCTCAATTAGCAGTGGCCCAGTTTATGGTGTATATAATTACAATATTTTGAAACTGCATATTAAAATGCACCATACATAGAGCATACAATAAAAGTATTGAATACAATATGTACTAAAACAACCTGAACTTTAAACTAGAATTATTACTCAGTGCAGCAAAATAGGCAAATCTTTATCCTTGCTGCAGTACAGTAGTTGTCCATTAACTGTTGACAGAGGACACCTCCAGGTGCCATCATCTGTATCTCTTCACCCACTTGCAGCCGTGGAGGTCCCAGGTGGATTTTTGTGTTCCACCCTAGAAGTGGTGTTTTCTCTCTTATCCCATCGCCATGCAAACAACGGAATGTCTATGTGACATGTTAGTGCAACTTGTCAAAGTAGCTGTTTTTTTTTTTCCAGGGTAGGCGCGTTGCTGTTCTGTCCTGGCCGGCAGTTCTGCTCCCCTTGCACTACTGGGTTCACCCAACCAGCAAACGCTGCCCTGGTGCGGACCACAGATACGCATTAGTGCCGTGGCTGGAGGGGACAAGGCCGTTCGGTGGGGGGTGCGGGGAGGGAGAGAAGCCCTGGCCTGCCCCGTCCATGCCTCCGCTGCCCCCTCGCCCCCGGGCGGGATAGTGGAGGAGGAGCTGCCCGCATGGCTCGCCGGCGTGGGAGCAGCTGCGGTGACCGGCCGGTCGGTCGGTCTTGCCCTTCCCCCTTGCAGCTGCCGCTCTTCTGGGGAGGCGGGTCTGGGCCGGGTGGGAGGAACGCACACCGGCCAGGAAGTTGGAAGAAGCGGCGAGAGAGGGCCTGTTCCGATGCCGGGAAGGCGTTCCGGCTTCCCAGCGGAGGAGGCCGTAGTATGTAAGTCCCACCACCCCCGACGGGGATTGGGCGTGGATGGGTGGAGCGAGACGCAACGGTCCCCGAAAGGCAAGGCGGAGCCGGCACATGCGCACAGGACAACTGGCCTTTCCACGCGCGCCTGCGCGCCAGACACCAGGTGGCCTGTGCGCATGCGCGCTCCGAAAACCAGACTATCTGCCAACCCCGTACGACAAGAGACTTTTAAGCTTAAAGGTCTCAATCCCCCCCCAATGCGATGGGCCTGCACCGCTCGTGCCAGCAGAGGAGGCCTATTGCGGGTCCTGTCGGCCTGATTATTCTGGTTGGCGGGTCCAGGAGGGAGGGTTTCTCTGCTGTTGCTCCTGCTTCTGAAACATCATCTCCCTCCCCGTGTAAGATTGGCCCCACCCCTCCTTATCTTTCCGTAAGATAGATAGAATTCTTTATTGGCCAGGTGTGATTGGACACACAAGGAATTTGCCTTGTCTTGTTTCTTTTGGGTATACTGAGAGCAAATGCTCTCAGTGTACATAAAAGAAAAGATACGTTCGTCAAGAATCATAAGGTACAGCACTTAGTGATGGTCATGGGGTACAATCAACAATCAAACCATACTAGGAAACAGTCCATATAAATAGTAAGGATACAAGCCACAAAGTTACAGTCCTACAGCCACAAGTGGGAGGGGAGGGGTGATAAGGAGTGATGGGAAGATTAATAGTGATAGTAGTGCAGACTTTGTAAATAATTGGACAGTGTTCAGGGAATTATTTGTTTAGCAGAGGGATGGCGTTCAGAGGGGGGGGAACTGCCCTTGTGTCTAGTTGTTCTGGTGTGCAGGGCTCTATAGCGTCGTTTTGAGGGAAGGAGTTGAAACAGTTTATGTCCGGGATGTGAGGGGTCTGTAAATATTTTCACAGTCCTCTTTTTGACTCATACATGATACAGGTCCTTGATAGAACCCCAGTGGGGAACAGTGCAGTGGAGGTGGTTGATTTAATAATAATAGATCCCACCTTCCTCCCACTCCACCCCTGCCCTCCCCATGTGTCCTAGGTTTTAATGTAGGATTTTAACTTTTTATGTGTTGAAAGGCTGTCAAAATGCCTTTCTTCTGAGGATTCGATTTTCCCGCTGGGAGAGCTCCGGCGCAAGGATACGGACAACTGCTTGAAAGCTGGATCTTTTTATTTTTCAGGAAGGCGGAGAACAGCGAGAAGTTTGCGTTCCTGGGCTAGGTAGCTTCTTATGGTAAGTCCCTGGTTTTTATACCCTTTTCTCCTTTTGTGTGAGTGCTTGTGTTTGTATTTCTTAATGTTTTAAATCCTGTCAGGGGTTGTCTTTCTTCCCGCCGGAGGGTAAACTCCGCAGGGTGTGGAAGGCAAACTTTGTGGGGTGGTTTGATTGTTTTATCAGTTTCGTCCTAATCTTTTTTAGCTTAATGGTTTCTTATATTTGTTTTGTGGCAATCTCCTGTCTGTCTCCTTTGTAATATATTTTGTGTCTTTTGTCTGTTTGTTTTGCTGATTTGGCATGTCTTGTGTTTGTAAGAGTTTTCTTTTCTTGTTTCCCTAGTTTTCTTAATTATTTGGGCTTTTGTCTAAGGGGCTTCTTTAATACCTTTTATTTCATTCCTTTTCCTATGCAAGTTTGTTTTATGGCTGGCCTGATGTTCCCTTTGGGCTTTTCCTGCTTGGGTGACACCAATGTCCTCGTGAAGTTCCCTTTCCACATATGTTTTAATTGTATTTGTAACTGTAAGCTACCCAGAATTACCCTATAGTAAGATGGATGGCCAATAATTGTATTTATAAATAAACAAACAAAAGAAATCATCTTCTGAATTAAGAATAAATCATGATCTGACCACATATCGTGTGAATTACAAACAATGATATATTCTAGTTGCTGGTTTAGCACTATCTTCAAGTGTGGGTGCAGTGCCCAGGCTCTACTCCTAAAAGCAGACAGGAACTTTGGAACTTGGTTACTATATATGTTGACAGCAGCAAGATTATTCTATGTGCAAAAATGGAAGGACACTTCCATTCCTACTATAGAAGAATAGTTGCAGAAGTTGATGGAATTGGCTGAAATGGCAAAAATGACTACTTTGCTTAAAGAAAAGAACATAAGTACTTTTGTTTCCACATGGAAACCGCTTCTGAATTTCATGCTTGATGTGGAAAAAAATGAAACTTTGATTCTGGGTTTTACAAATTAGACTGATAGATTCTTGTAGAAATTACTGGTTTATAGTAAAACAAAAGGTTGTGATTGTTGTTAATGCCCTATTCTGTAACAGATACAGTTGGAAGTCAATGCTTTTTATTCTTTCCTTACCCTTCCTCACTTTTCTCTGCCCTTTCCCCCTCCCTATCCCTGCCCTTTTATTTGCTTTCCTATTTTGTATTTTATAACACTTTATAACCTAATAAAACTTATTCGTAAAGAGAAAAATAAATAAATAGGTTTGCCTGCTAGAAGGAATCCATAGCTTTGGCCTTTTGGGAACTTTTGAAAGTTTGAGTAATTTGAGAGAATTTATTATGTGGAATAAGATACTCAGGATTGTTTTATATATTTTATGTTTATCTTTATGGTTTTATGGTTATTTCTGGATTTTAGTCTTACTGTGGATATTTTAATTTTGATTTTGAATATAGTTCAAAATCAGGAATTAGCAGTTATTATAAATCAGTGAGTGACTGATAGTGACCAATATATGTGGGATCTGGTATGTCCTCAGGCTTTGCTCAAAGAAGTCAAGATAGTGACTGAAGCAGTGCAGTTGTTGTATATGGTGTCATATATACAACAAACCAAAAATTGAGATGAATCTTTAATTACAGTTAACAGTCACAATCTTAACTTTTTTAACCATGCCTTGCAGAAAATCATATATAGGATAAATGAAGCAAGCAAAGACCTCTAGTAAGATGCATCAGAAAAGAACATGTGGAAAAAACAAGTATGTCTCTTGTGTTATTGATGTGTCTCAGAAAGTATTTGGAGTATCTACAGGGACAAGCTGCATTTCACACACATTCTCAAAAATGTTAAATTTTGCTTCTTAGTGGGACTCTTAAAAAAATCTTAATGATTGCCTTCTTATCTTTCTGTCTTCCAGAGTCTAGAAAGGAGAAAAAGCCTGTGGGAGACCTGTGGGAGACTGATCGTTCCTCAGAATGAGCAGTACTTTGTCATCCCGCAGTAAGTGCATCTGTCAGCTGCGCTGGCACATTGGTTGAAATCCAGGAATGGATTTGTCAAAATCAGTAAAACAGAACACTGCAAACTGAATATATACAGTGAAGTTTACTTTGTGTCTTAAATAAGGGAACTTATTTAATAGAAGAAACTTGAGCATTTCTTGCATTTTTTCAATAGACAATTATGTTTTTAATTTTTTGCCCTTTGATATACTGAGAAGATTAAATAACTATACCTCAGAAATGAAGGCAGGGGTCAACTTGTAAGTTATCAGACTAGTGGTAGTCAGCTTTGCCCGAATTCAAATGGGATTTTACATGCATAGAAAATGGTGCTATGTTGCCTAAATGTGAATGGAATTTTTGGCATACATAATATGGTGAATGGATTTTTGTCTGCTGAATCTGAAGTCTGCCATGTTGAGGTCTAGTAATGTGAGGATTTAGTTACTTTTTACCTCATGCTTCTTAAATTGAGTCGGTACAGAGAAATTCCCAAGCAAAATGGCTGTCAAGGCTCTGAAAAGCAAATCAGAACCCTGAGACATGGCTCCTTCTCAAAGGTCTCCTTTAATGAGTATGTCGTAGTATGTCGGCACAGCTTCAATGGAAAACCAAATCTAAATCTTTCTTGAGGTCTCAATATAATTAAACTAGGAAATAGTTTAGTGTCACAAGTCATATTGGCCAATTGAGTTAATTGGAAGGCTCTTCAGGCACTCCTCTCCCAACCTTATCTGTTGCCAGTGGAGATAACCTGTTCTCACGAAAAAGCTTTGTTGTGTCTAGTTACGCATTCCAACCTCCTCCCCCCTTTGTGGCAACTGAGGAATGGAGAGATGGTTCAGTTCGAAGTTGACAATGGCATTATGTGGCATTTACTTACATGCTAGATGATAGAACTAGTTGATCTATTAAATGGTATCTTCTTGGAGAACCCAAGTTATGGAACCAAATGTATGTATATCAGAAAATTTAAAATTCTGTTCAAGACTTCTCATATTGGCTAAGGTTAAGTCAGAATAGCCCAGAATTCTATCTACCCAGTCTCTGAAAATCAGGTAGTTCTCAACTTGCAACCATTTGTTTATGGCACTGAAATAAGTGGCTAATGAGCAGTCCTCACACTTATAAACCTGCACAGCATCCCCACAATCCCCATAGTCACATGATCAAATTTCAGACCCTTGGCAACTGACATGTATTATGATGTTTACAGCATCCCAGGGTCATGTGATTGTCATTTGTGACCTTCCCAGCCACTTTCAGTAAGCAGGCTCAATGGGGAAAACCTGATTTGCTTAATGACTACATGTTTCACTTAATAAATGTAGTGATTCACTTAACCATGACAAACAAGTTCATAAAATCAGGTCTAACTCACTTAACAACTGCTTACTCAGCAACAGATTCAGGGTCCCAGTTGTGGCAATTCTTGTCTCAACTGTGATTACCTATATGCCTATTTGTGAATGTAATTTGAATATAAACAGCATAGGGCAGTGATGGCTAACCTTTCTGTCGTTGTGTGCTGAAAGTGCGTGTGCATGCCTGCACCCATACTGCGATGCATGCACGACCCCCCCTCACACTCTCCCACCCCCTGCCCATGCACACGCAACCCCCCACGTGCTCCCACCACCCCTGCGTATGCATGTGCAACCCCCATGCTTCCCCAGCCCCTGCGCATGTGCTCAGGACCCCTGCACTGCCCCTGCCCCTGCACATGCGCACGTGTCTCCCGCATGCGCCCCGCCCTCCCGTGCATGCATGGCAGATACCCAGAAATCATCTGACTGGCATCGCAGAGGAACTGAGCTGGGGCTCTGCATGCTACTTCCGGCACGTGTGCCATAGGTTCACCATCATGGGCCTCCTGCTTGAGTGGGAGATTGGACTAGAAGACCTCCAAGGTCCCTTCCAAGTCTATTTTTCTATGTTTTTCTGAGGTCACTTGTAACGAAAACTAGAAGCTGTATCTCAGCAATATCTGGCAATTCCCCATCTTTGTTCCTTGCAAGACAGAAATACTAAATCACAATAGCATTGAATTGATTGTGTTTGGTTCCTAATAATAAATATATATGGTAGGAAGGATATGTTGCACCAGTTAAAAAATTTCAACTGGCAGGGTCTAGGAAGAGAGTCCCAGCCTGTGGAACATTCTTTCTTTGGAGGTGAGGCAGACCCCCATTCTCCCGTTCTTCCAAAAATATGGCTCTGCAGTGTCATGTGGAGAGCCCAGAAGAGCATGCAGCTGTAGGGCTGGTTAGTCCACTGAAAACTCTCCTGTTGCCTTTTACTACTGTTACTACTGGTAGTATTTAATCACACTTTCCTCATATTTTTTTTTGTAAAAGTTTTATTGGGTTTTTACAAAACATAATAGCATATAAAACAACTTTTTTTGAGAACAGCTTGATTCCAGGTTATCACATCTCCATACAGACATAATCTCAATTACATATTCATCTTATATATTCAGTTTCATATCTTATCACCATTTTTTCAATTTCTAAATAATTTTTCTCTTCCCCTACTTTCCTTAATCTTCTTTTATAATTATCTCATTTTTTTTCTAATTCAATTACATTTCTTTTCCTAAATTTCTACATCTTTTTATTCATTATACTTGTACTTTTGTCTGTCTGGTTTACAATTTCATATATTCTCTTCCATCATCATCCCAAGAGAGAGAGGGTAAGAGCGAATTTCCTCCCCTTCCAGGCATTAAAAAGCAAGATTCCCCCTGTAATTGCCAAATAGAGTGTGGCACCTTTGAATCTTATAATTACTGTCATTTCAAATCTCATTAAACATTTAATTTATACATTATACAATTATAACATTCAATTTCTAGTATCTATTTTATATCATATAGCTCTCATCAACTGAATTCCGCTTGGTACTTTCCCTTAGAAATACACACAAGATTCTAAAACATAGAAAAAGTATATATGAAAAATAGTAAACAAAATAGTTATTCTATTCAAATTCATCCTAACAACTGGTATTGATTTCATTATAAATCTTTCACATTTTTTTTCAATTGTATTTTATAAGTCTTTAAGAACAATTAAATATATATTCCCTTTCTCTCATTATTACATTTAATTATTAGTAAGCATACCATTACATTACAATACCAGTTTTATCTTGTAATTTAATCACCTGTTTCATTTCTAGCTCATTACTCATTACTATTTCTATTATAACAGCACTACCCTTGCAGAATTCTCACTTTTAATTTGATTTAACCATTATCTCTATGTCTTCTAAATAAGCTAATACCTTTGACCCTTGTACGTTTCCTGTTTCTTTATTTCCTGTTTTTGTCCCTTATAACTTCTTTTCCTTTTTATCTTCCCCCTTTTCTCACCCCCTTTTTGTTCCCCCCTTTCTAATTCTCCCTTCTGTAATTCTCTTTTCTGCTTCTCCTTACTGTTGTGTTTATTTTTCAAACTACCGGTATTCTTTTTTTTAGTTGTTCCCTCAAATCTTAAATTTTTAACTTCTTTTTCCTCTTTTTTCCATTTTACCCCACATTGCATTATTTGATCATTAAAGATGGCTTCTTCTTTGTCCAGCCCTTCTTCTTGCTCTTCAAGCATTTCTTGTTGTTTTTCATAGTTCAAAATCTCCATTTCTAAGAATTGAAATATGAAGCCAAACGATCCTCCGGAGTCTCTCTTGTGCCTCTTCTTTCATTTTTTAAAGTTCCATTTTTAATTCCTCAAGGAGTACTGCCATTTTAAACACTTTTAAACAACCACCCGATTGACTTTAATTAAAAATTCAACACCCAAAATTCTAAAAATCACCAAGTAATCCAAAACTGTTTCTTCTTGTTTCTTTCTTCAACTTTTCCTTTCCAGGAGTTCTGTTATCTTTTAATAAAGTTTCAGTATCCTTTGGAAGTCTTTTTAAAGTTTCATTGTTCATCCCTTTTATTTCCAGGTGGCACTCTCTGTTCTTTCCAAGTTCCACCCTTTTTCCTCCACTCTTCTCCTTTTAAGGGCTTTAGAGTATCCAGAAAATCTTTATTTTCCTTTTGACACTTTAATTTCAGCTTAAAATTGCCTGTTAGTGTCAAAATAAATTATCACAAATTTCTTATTTAGATTTCTTCATTTTAACATTCAAAGCCGATTGTAACTGTCAATATGAGAAATAGAAAAAAAGGATTTTCCCCCCTCCTTTTCTCTCTTCTTCGCCACTTTAAAAATCTTCTGTAATGTAAAACATAAATAAAGTCCAGTGCCATTTAACCAGAGTTACTAATTTTAAAAGCTGTAAGGCTTTGTTTACTATCTGCATGAATAGTGAGAAGATAACTGCTAAACCAGGGGTTGGATTCAAATTTCTTAACAACCGGTTCTGTGGGCGTGGCCTAATTTGTGGGTGTGGATTAGTGGTCATGTGACGGTGGGTGTGGCTTGCTGGCTGAGTGGCTAGGCGGTCATGTGACTGGGATGGGCGTGGCTAGGTGGTCATGTGACGAGTGGGTGTGGCCATGTAACTGGCAAACCAAATATAAGTGGTCCTCGCTTAATGGCCAGTTGCTTAGCAAGTGTTCTAATTTATGACTGACCGCCCCAGAGCTACTTGACCTGTTTTTGGTGTTTTGACAGCGATGCACACACGGACACGCACATGTACACACACTTATGACTAATTACAACATCCCACTCAGTCTTGTGACTGAGGTTTTCTATGTTTTTTGCCAGTTTCCAAGGCCTGGGGAACCCTGGAGAGGGCAGGGCAAGGCCTGGCGAGCTATGGGGAGGGCAGGGTGAGGCCTGGAGAGCTACGGGGAGGGCAGGGCGAGGCCCGGGGGGTTATGGGGAGGGCAGGGTGAGGCCCGGGGGGCTACAGAAAGCTATGGAGAGGGCAGGGCGAGGCCAACTCAACATCACTTCTTTGCCCTAATGACTTTATTAAAAAAAGATACACCAAAACAAAAGGTAATTTATTATGTCGTGTCAATAATGCTTAAATAATAAAAAGATACACAAAACTATATTGTTACAACATTTTAAAATATTAATCAAAAACTATTATATAACAAAACTTTACAAAAAACAATAAAACTTATTTAAAGTACTGCCAAATTGCTTTTCTATTATCGTCCTGAGTTACAGTTTTCTTGTGTTTAACACGAGCATCATCAGCTGTGTGATGTGCCTGTAACCACTTCTTTACTATAGGAACAGGGTCCCATTCTTGCACAGGTCAGCCAATTAGACTGATGGTCAGGAGGTTTGTAATATTGGAAACTGTACGGCAACTTCTGCCCTCTGAACATATTATGTTCATCTGCGAGATGCCCCTTTCCACCTCTGCTGAACTGACTGCAATAGTTTTAATAATATCTCTAGCCCTTTTAATGCTGCAAAGAACTGTATAATTTTTAGAATCTTTTAGTACATTTTCTATGAAATCATGATAATCATTAATATTGATTTCATAATTGAAAATTTCACCAAATGCAATCAATTGTTCTTCAGCTGCTCTCCTTGGAACCACCACTTCAATGTTCCAATAATCTGGTTCCAAATAATTTAGAAATTTTAATTGATCAATGTCTTTAAATTGGCAGCCTGTTTTTAAATGTTCGCAATCCACCTATCTTTTATTCAAATTAGTTACAATACTTTCTATAAGTTTTCCACAAGGAAGTCCCACAAATCAATGATTTTGTATAAAATGTATATTTTTAAAGATTTCTGAACTAATTAATTCATCGATCTTTTTTCATATGCACCCTTTTCCCCTATAAGCATTTCAAATGATCTTACCACAAGTTTTTCAGCCTTTATAATGTCTATGTTTCTCGCTTGCAATGCATTAGAAAGAAGAGATATTTCAGTTAGCATATCAATCATCAAGGCCAAATCAGTGAGAAAATATGTGTTTTCAAGATGGGCAGCCATACCAGAGTATTTTTTATTTGAACAGAAAAACTGATGTAGCGCTGGATAAGCCCGCCACACAGCTAGGATTGATCTTAAACTACAGGCAGCTTCTGTTTATAACTTTGTTTGCTTCTGGGTGTTTGCGGATTTGTTGCTTGATTATCATTTCCGGGATCTTTCCAGTTAGGCTGATTGTTCTGTAGTTTCTGGATCTGTTTTCCCCCCTTTTTTGAAGTTGGGAACCACATCATGCTCTTTTCTAGTCCTGAGGTAGTTTCCCCATGCTACAAGATGGTACTTCAACCATGAGGCCTCTCAGTTTAAAAACTTTGATATAAAGACTGTTTGGGTTCTTCCTCTCCTTCTCCAGGATAGAACGTCTTTTGCATTAATTCTGTTGTCTTCAGCAAGCTTTCTTAGTTGTGCCTATCATAATTTCTCTCCAGCCAAAGCTGTTCTAAAACTTAATGCCTTTAATTCTGAAAGAAAGGCTTAGTGTCATCTCTGTTATCCAGTATGGTTTAAAAACAGGCCATAATCTTCTAGCTTTCTAGAATAATCTATGAAATTATGTAGTTGAAATATCTTAAATAATTCTGTAACTCAGGAATTTTCTACCTCTCACATGAATTTGTGTAATGACTCTGTAATGACACATAAATTTGTGTAACTCTCCCATAAATAAAATTTAAAAAATGCCATGTGTTAGTGCTTGGCTGTATGACTATCAAAGTTGTATAAAAGAGTAAACAAATCTTTGAAAGAAAGAGATAGCTAAAAACATTACTATATTGTTTTCAAGAAAGCGCCATCAACAAAATTCAACTTTAAAAGAGAGCTTATTGTTGTAATGGTGTAATTCTGTCTCTAGGTTTGCTTCCAGTTCCATCTTCCTCGGGGACACAGTTTGCAGAGACTTCTGTGCGAGAACGCATGAGAGAGAAACTGAAGGCTGTACGAGTAAGACATCAGAAATCCCATTCCCAACAATGCCTGTCATAGCACCTGGTTCTTTGGAGAGATCACACTGGGGTTTGTTGGTATATTTGGGATGCAGTAGATAGGAAGAAGTATAGCTATGAGTAATTTTAAAGGAAGAAGAAAAATAATAATCTGTAGCTCAACAAGAATCTATTTAATTCCATGGTTGAGGGCATTGAGAAGAAAAAATTAAAATTACCCATCTCATTGCCTTGAGATGGAATTCTTATTTCACATCTTTTTGATACCTTTGATTGGCTGGATGGAAGCAAAACATTGCTCAAGCCTACATTTTTCTTCTCTTTTGTAATGAGCAGCTTCATTAGCAACCAGACACAAACTCTGGCCCAAATTAGAATAATCAATGAGAAACATACAAAAATAGAAACAGACCTAATCTTGGCGTGCTGGGTTTTTTATGATGAATTCCTAACAATTGAATAGGAGTCTTAGGTGGTTAGACTGGGTTGGAAAATTCAGTTTCTGGATTTTTGCCTGACAGCTGGTCCAGAGTAATCCTTTTTAGTGGCTCTGTGGCAGCCAAGAAAGATTTCATGGGAACTGAAAATGAGGGTTGAATAGAGCTAAAATTTCCCATCTCTGAACAAGATCACTGCTGTTACATGGGTTGGATCACTGAAATATGTGTTAAAGTTCAGATCTGTTTTCTAAAATTAAAGTTCTTTCTTAAAGTCTTTACTAATATAATAGCTTTTTCCTTTCTGGAGTATTTTTAATGTGTTCCTTCATAATTCTTGTGCTTTATTGTAGAGAATATAATAATTTAAATAATGTAGTACAGGGATTTGCCAACCCCTGGGCCACAGTCCACCACTGAGATGTTCAAAACTGGAGCGTTTGAAGCAGCAGGCAAACCTGTGTCTGTGCAGGCATCCCCCCTGTATGAGCAGAGGGCAAGGGCATGCATATAGACTCCATCTGCACAAGTGGTGGAACCATCCCCCCCCCCCCCCCCGGCACCGGTCTGCAAAGTCAAAAAGATTGGGGGACTCTGATGTAATATTTATTAGCAATTCATTTTATTATTTAGAAGAAAAAAGTTAATAATTTAAGTGTTAAAATATATAGATGTCTTTGAGACTGGTATATTAAAATATGTTAGCAGACAAACATCCTGAAATCCAAATAATGTTGAGGTCAGAAATCGGGGTCAAGAACTGGATTTTCTCTGGACTTGTGGTAGCTTCCAGAACTTCCAAAAATGTTTGGATGACCTATTGAGTTTTTGTGTGTACTTGATAGTTCAGAGTTGCTGATGCAAAGTGATACATGATCCAGCACTGGATGAACCAAAGAACGTATCTGGCATTTGGAGTGGATTCGTCATCTGTTTTCTCTAATATTCAGGCTTCTCTTAACTGACATTTCTTGACACTAAAAGAAGTGCTGTGCACAAAAAAATATTCTAAAAAATCTTCGACTTTCCTCCATAATATTTCCGTTTTCTTTGCGTATGAAAAAAATGTAATGTGCACTCATTTTTCCATCTCATGGTAAGGCATAATTTAAAATATGTCCATAGTATTGACTACACTTATTTATTATGTAGAAAATACGAAGACAATATAAGTTAATTAATGCAATTTTTATCCATATATTCTTGCAGATAGGTGATCATTTGTTGAGTGCAGTAAAAAGGAAAGAAGGCAAGGTTTCTGCAAGAGTGAAGTTTCGTGATGTTGTTAGAAGAGGCAAACAAAAATCACAGGTGATGAGTGTCAGTTGAAGAGTGATGGCTTTTCAGTTTATTATGTGATTATTTAAGACTGAATTATGAATTGATTATGGTTAAAAATACATTTGAGCATATATGACCCTGTAAAACACAGTAATATATGATGACAATTATAAATAATTGAGTCATAAAGATGAGGAAATGATCCAGATACTTAAGTTTTATACACCATTAGCTATTTTTAGCTCTTTACTTGCAAAATTAAAGATGAGGGGGATTGTTGTGAAGTGACTTCATGACCCACAGTGCAAAAAGAGAAGTTTGATGCCCAAAATCCTGACATATTTTTTTCCTTTCTTCCATTCAAATGTGGAGTATATTTTGGTGATGAATATAAAACTCTAAAACCCTGTACAGTAAACTGTTAAATTTTGTATTTCTATATGTGATTAAATAAACATCACCTAGTATGGAGTATGCATTGAGAAGTGGTGTTTCTAACAGAATAGCACTGGAATTGACCTTGGAGGTCTAGCCATACTCCTCTTCAATACTGGAATACAGCTATCATGTCACCCCTAGTCCTTTTCTCTAGACTAACCAAACCCAACTTCTACAACCATTCCTGTGACTGTATGACCGTAACTTTGTCGCTTGTATCCTTAACAATCTATATTGACTGTTTCCTAGTATGATTTGATTGCTTATTGTACCCTATGACTATTATTAAGTGTTGGACCTTATGATTCTTGACTCTTGACGAATGTATCTTTTCTTTTATGTATACTGAAAGCATTTGCACCATTCCTTGTGTGTCCAATCATACTTGGCAAATAAAGAATTCTATTCTATTCTATTCTATTCTATTCTATTCTATTCCATTCCATTCCATTCCATTCCATTCCATTCCATTCCATTCCATTCTTGATATGTTTTGGTCTCCAGAACTTTAATCATCTTAGTTGCTCTTCTTTGCACTTTTTTCTAAAGTCTTAATATTTGTTTTGTAATGTGGTGACCAAAACTGGATACAGTATTCCAGATGTGGCCTTACTAACACTTTATAAAGTGGTGTTAAATACTTCATGTGATTTTGATTTTATGCCTCTGTTTATACAACCAAGGATTGCATTAGCTTTTTTGGATGCTACCGCACATTGCTGGTTCATGTCTAAGTGATTGTCCACTAGGACGCCAAGTTCCCTCTCACAGTTACTGTTTTTGAGCCAGGTTTTGCCTAATCTGTACTTATACCTTTGGTTTTTCTTGCCTAAGTGTAAAGCCTTGCTTTTCTCCACATTACATTTCATTTTGTTGGATAGGGCCCATTGTTCAAGTCGGTTGAGTAAGGTTTGTCAGCCAATTACAAATCCATCTAGTAGTGATGCTGTCTATCCCACATTTTTTTAGCTTACCAAGAAGTAGGTTTTGATCTACTTTGTTGAATGCTTTGCTGAAGTCTAAGCATACTACGTCAAAAACATTTTGCTGATCTTTTTTGAGTCACTTTGTCAAAGAATGAAGTAAGATTGGTTTGGCATTATCTGTTTTTAACAAATCCATGCTGGCTTTTAGTTGCAACTGTATTCATTTCAATATGTTTGTTTAGGGTCAGTGTTATATTTCAACTCAACTTCTATATCGTCTTCAATAGGGCCTGGAAAGATTAAAGTTTTAAGAGGGTAATTAGAAAATTTAGAGTTCATAATTGAAGAATGCTGGTTTTGGACACTCAACAGTTCAAAAGAGAACTTTGAATGAAAGTGTACATGCAGAAACATTTGCTTTTGAGAAGACTGCTTGAGTAATGCTAAGAAATGTGTAGTTACTGTTGTAATCCTCTACTGTTTCTCTATAAACAGTAATCTTTTAGAAAGTCTGTTAGAGAGTTGGCTCTCGAGTTGTATTATGACTTTTTTTTTAAAAAAAAAAAACACTTTTCTTCATTAGATTCAGATGGATTATCCTTCTTCTGAAGAAGCCTATAATTTCTTTACTTTCAATTTTGGTTCTGAGGAAGAAACTGTAGGGGATGACGGTGAAAAAAATGAAAAGAATGCATCAGATCTAGATGACAAGGGCAGGGAGAACCAGAAATCTACACTCAGCAATCAGGAAGAACAAGAAGAGAATAAAATGGTAATAATGAAGAAGCATGTACACATCTTTTTAAACAAATACGTAGTTGACTGATTGTATTTTGTTGTAAACAAAATGTGGAAGCTTATAGTTAATATCCTGCCTCTCCCCTTCTCTCTCCATTGATGTACATAGGGTATCATATCTTGAGACACTGAGTCCTAGATATAATAGAGAATTTAAGCCAAAGATGTTGAAAAATTGCTTATTTGTGGCTGAAAGCATATAGTTTGTTGAGGTCAAACATTTTCTGATATAGATATCCTTTACATCTATAGCAATCCTATTTAGAAAAAAGTTAAATCTTATGTTTTTCACTTAGAACGAAAGTTTATTTACTTTAAGTGAATATTTACACTGGGTTTTATAACCAGTGAGTTAAACAAGGTAATCAGCATCACACAAGGAATATTAGTGTAGCTTCTCAGTTTAGTGTAAAGATAATTCTAAAATAGATGAATGCATAGTGCCACAAAATGCAAGAATTGTGTGATGAAAATCATGATTTGTTCAGCATTCACTGGCAGATGCTGAACAACCTATTGTACAGAAAAGTTCTGCTGTTACTGCTAAGACTCATGTTTTACTCTTTACCTTAATCCAATTCATTCTTCTTTTTTTATAACTGTTTTTAATTCCATTATTTTTCCTGTAACCCATGTTTACTAAACATTACAAATTAGACTCTTTGTCTTAGGAAGCTCAGTTTTGGTAAAAATAGAATATATGGAGTTTATACACACACATACATGGTAGTAACTTCATACACACAAACAAACATTTGTGTATCTGTGTATTCTGACATCAACTCCCAGAATTCCCCAGCCAGCAAGGTAGTTGGTGCTAGGTGATAACTTCATGCTGGTGGGGAATTCTGGGAATTGATATCCACTCATGTTAAAGTTGCCAAGGTGGAAAACACTTCTAAATTAATTTGCTGACCTGGCCCCACATGAGGTAGAACTAATTATGGCTTACACCAGAGGTGGTATTCAGCAGGTTCTGACCAGTTCTGGAGAACCAGTAGCGGAAATTTTGAGTAACTTGGAGAACCAGCAAATACCACCCCTGACTGGAGATTTTACAGTATCCTTCCCCTGCCATGCCCACCAAGCCACGTCCATAGAACCGGTAGTAAAAAAAATTGAATCCCACCACTGGCCTACACACCAGTGAAACATAGGATCTGTGTTCTCTTACTCAGGCATTATTTTCAGAGGGTTTATTTTATTTGTTTTATTACTGGGACTTCAATCATAAGATTCTAAAGAGGATTGGAAGCTTTTTTTTATATATCTAGATCATTTTTACATACTTCAGCAATGCCCAGATGGGAATCCATGTCAAAAATAAAAAGAATATGGATCATGTATGTTGCTTATAAATTACAGATATGAGAAGCTTGTATCTATATTTGAATTATGTAAAATAAAAAAAAATTAGGCTTAACAGCTGTGTTACAATACCTCCTGAATTTGTAGTCAGTAATAGTCACCAGTGGTCTGATATGGTACATACAATTTTCTTGAGATAGTCCTCAAACATCAAGTGTAGGCTTCCTGACAAAGATGATTCTTTGATGCAAAAATGATTAGAAATAATTTTCTTTGCGAAAACTCCTATGATTGCAAATCTCTAAAGCACAGTTATGCTGCTATTGAGTTCTGATTGAAAACATTTATGTGGTAAATACAGGATGAAGAGGAACATCTTTTCCATGATAAAGGGAATGATGGCATATTTATTATAGAACAGACACCTCAAGATTTCTTAGAAATAAGACCTGCAGAATACGAAAGCTATTCTGGAAGGGTGCAGAAAGAGAAAGATACTTTGTTTATTCCCAGTATGTTAAGAGGTATGTTGGCTGGAATTATTTTGAAATATTATATCATATATAATATATAGTTTTGTCTGTCTGTCTGTCTATCATTTTTTTTTATTATGACTATAGTTCAAGAGAAAAACCTTGGTTTTCTAATACATTCTGAAATGCCTTTTGGTGGATAATTTGTCTAAGATTTTACTAAGTTTAGTTTTAGTTTACTTTACTTTATTGTCATTGCACCTCGTACAACGAAATCAAACACCATCTTCAGTGCACATCATGACCATGACCATGAAAATACACAAACACACATCCTTCACCCTTCACACATTGAACCAGAAACCCCCAACACCACACCAACACTGCACTACACAGCAGAATTCAAAAGAGTTACTGCCCTGGGATAGAAGCTGTTTTCAGCCTATTTGTCCTTGTTTTTTATTATTCTGTACTGTCTGCCAGATGGTAATAGTTCAAAAAAAGGGTTCCTAGTATGAGATGGATCTTTGAGAATGTTTTGAGCTTTCTTAAGGCAGCAGGAGCTATAAAGCTCTTCCAAAGAGGGGAGAGGGCAACCAATGATCTTCTGGGCAATGACGTTAACCCTCTGGAGTGCTTTCCTATCTGCCACTGTGCAATTGGCAAACCATACAGAGGTGCAGTAAGTTAAAATGCTCTCTATGGTGCAGCGGTAGAAGGTCACCAGCAGTTTCTCATTCAGTTGTTGTTTTCTGAGAAGCCTCAGGTTGTATAATCTCTGCTGGGCCCTTTTGACCAGGGCTGCAATGTGGGCACCCCAGGTCAGGTCCTCTTTTAGGGTAACAGCCAGAAATTTAAAACTGGCCACTTGCTCCACTCAGTCTCCATGGATAAGCAAGGGCTGGATGTCTGATCTGTTCCTTCTATAATCTACTATAAGCTCCTTGGTCTTATTGGTGTTGAGGACCAAGATATTGTCTCCACACCACGAAAGCAACCAGTCCACCTCATCTCAGTAGGCAGACTCATCCCCCTCGGAGATAAGTCCCACCGCTGTTGTATCATCTGCAAATTTAGCAATAGTATTACTAGCATGAGTGGGAATGCAGTCATGCACATAAAGAGTATAGAGTAAGGAACTCAACACGCCAGTGTTAAGAATAAGGGCTGAAGAAGTATGATTACCTAATTTCACCCTCTGTGCGCAGCCAGACAGGAAAACCATAATCCAAAGGCAGATTGAATTAGAAAGCCCAAGGTCCAGAAGTTTAGACACTAGTCTATGTGGAAGAATTGTGTTAAACACAGAACTAAAATCCACAAAAAGCATCCTCCCATAGCCCTCCCACTGTTCTAGATGAGTCAGAGCAATGTGAAGAGTGATGGCTATAGCGTCCTCTGTAGATCTATTTTTTCTGTATGCAAACTGGTGTTTATCAAATGTATGTGGAAGACCAGAAATAATGTGCCGGCAGACCAATTTCTCAAAGCACTTCATGATGATAGGAGTGAGTGCCACTGGTCTGTAATTGTTGAGGTTATTGATAGGGAACTTCTTTGGCAGCGGAACAGTGGTGGAAGCCTTCAAACAAGATGAAATAGTGGACTGGGATAAAGACCGATTGAAGATCCTGGTAAAGACTCCAGCCAACTGATCAGCACAGCCTTTAAGCACCGGCCAGAGATACCGTCAGGACCGGCAGCTTTCTAGGGTCCACAGCCCTCAGAATGCTCCTCACCTCCTCTTCCTCCACAATGAGGTGGGGGCTACAATTGGCTGGTAGTTATGTTTTATCTGTCTCTGATGTCTCCACTTCAAAGCGAGCAACGAAATGATTCAGTTCCTCTGCCAATGAAGCATCCCCCTCAGCAGGGATGACATTGGTCGGTTGATGGTTTGTAATTTGTTGAATCCCTCGCCACACCTGCCTCATGTTATTGCTATAAAAAATATCTTTAATATTCCTCTTATAATCAGTCTTGGCCTTCTGAATACCTTTCTTCAGATTAGCTCTGGCAACACTATCTTGCCCCATCACCGGACCTAAAGGCCTTGGTCCTGGACTTCCTTGGTCATCCAGGGTTTCTGATTGGGATAGATCCTAATACGTTTTTATCCACAGTGATAGTATCTGTGCAGTGTTTGATCTAACACAGAACATCAGTTGCAGTGTGCACCTCTAAGTCAGGGTGGTAAAAGACGTCCCAATTTGTGTTCTCAAAACAATCCTGAAGTTGTTGGGAAGCATCTTCTGGCCAAGATTTCACTGTCTTTATTATAGGCAGAGCCCTTCTCCTAAGAGGGATGTACGCTGGTGCTAAAAGTAGTGACATATGGTCTGATTGTCCCAAATGTGGTAATTGTATAACCTTATAGCCATTTTTGATGTTGGTATATACTTTGTCCAATATGTTTGCTCCTCTAGTAGCACACTTAACATGCTGATAGAATTTAGGGAGCACTTCTTTTAAATCAGCTTGATTAAAGTCCCCCGCTATGATATGCACAGCATCAGGATACTTATTCTGCTGATTACTAACAATGTTATACAAGAATCCCAAAGCTATCATAGTATTGGCATCAGGTGGGATATAGACTGCAGTAATCAAAACCACGCTTGTAACATCCATTTTCTTATTGTAAAGGTAGGTGGGGTTGCATGTTTTTGCCTTTGATTTAATTTTGACTCTTGGCAACTGCCTGGACAATTTTTTGCAATTTTCTTGACAAGATTATTTGGAAGTAGTTTACCATTGTTTTTTCAACTCTTAAATAAGTTAAAGACTTGAAGATTAAAATTAGGAGGATGGGACTAGAGAGAAGTGGTTCTAAAAAAGAATTAACACTCAAAATAGAGATGTGAACGTGCAGGGAAAAATGAGAACAGGTAAAAATACAATTAAAAATTGTGGTCTAAATATGTAATATCAAATTTGTGTGAAAGGGTAATATCAAAGTCCCAGCCACCTTCAAAAGAGCGGAAAATACTCAGGGAAGATTCTTGAAATGGAAGCACAAGGGAGAACCCACAGTGAAGCCTGGTGCAGGTCCAGTGAAGGAAATCTAGGGAGTGGCCCAAGCAGACTTTGGAGCCCAGATGATGGTGGCCTGACCAAAAGCTCGAGTAAAGAAGTCCGAGCAACAAGTGCGTGGGAGGAAACCATAGTGACTGGGGACCTCTATCACAGTGATCCCCAACCTTTTTTATGCCGCGGCCCGGTACCGGCATCAGCTGGGCGCCGCGGCCCGGTACCGGCATCAGCTGGGCGCCGCGGCCCGGTACCGGCATCAGCTGGGCGCCATCTTTTTTTGATGAAAAAGTGCTTCCGGTGACCTCACCGGAAGCACTTTTTTATCAAAAAAAGATGGCGGCGCCAGCGCTTCCGGTGAGCTTTTCCGGG